CCTACAGGGTCTGGCTCCCACCTACCACTCTCATTTCACATCACTCTCCCTCCCTATCAACACCCCCAGACCAAGTCCAGACAAACTGGCTGCCTTCCTGTTCCCCTACCAAGCCAACCTTATCCTATGTCAATGGCCTTTCTTTTCACTTGCTATTCCCTCTGCCTGAACACTCCTCCTCCTCCCCTGATTCCTTTACTCCACTCAGGTCTCTACACAAAGTCAATCTTCTTTTTCTCTCTCACACACATCGAACCCTTTTTGGACCATTCTTTCAAAAAGAGCCCCGCCAGCCCCTCACCTTGTTCTACTGTTTTCATACCACGCATTACCACCTGAAATTAGATTGTCTATTTAGTTATTTGTTTGCTTCCTTCATAGTATTGCTCACAATACTTAGTGAACACCCATCAGGTGTGAGGTGCTCTTCTAAGAGCTGAGGATACAACAGTAAACAAGACAAGACACGCAAAGACCCCTGCCCTCATGGAGCTCACATTCTTATCATTCCCACTCAAATCTAAGGTCCAGGAAGGCACAGACATGGTCTGTCTTATGACCACTGAATCCCCAGAACAGTGCCTTGGCACAGAGCAGGCATTAATACATATTTGTTGAACGCATTAAGTGTCCTGCTACCTGATGCCATTTGCTTCCCTGAGGACTTCCACTACAGAGCTCTTCCTGCCTACCAGATGGAATTCAGGTTCTGGGACTCAGAATGTCACTATGTCCCCTTGGACAGGGCAGTCTGGACAGCCAGCCTCCTGTGGCTGAGCTGGTTTCCTAATCCTGGGCCTGCTTATCCTGACTGCCCTTCCTTCCTGTTCCAACCCCCAGCACCCTGCAAACTCACCAGGTGACCATCCCACTGGGATCTGTCTCAGTGGGTCACGAGAGCACCTGATCCACATCATAGGAGCTGACCAGGTAGTCAGTGTTAACCAGGCCAGCTTTTCTCTACAAAGAGTAGCTGAAATAAAGATGCAAGCGTTGTTCAGCGTCCCTGGCCCACGGTGGTCCTTACCCTCAGTATCTCACCTAAGACCTCCAGCATCAACTAGCTATCATACCTGGAGGCACTCTCACCTCAGCACTGGAACACACTGTTATTAAGGACATATTTTTGCCTCTTTCAACTGTCATAGAAGCAAGACGTGTACCTGCTGTGATAAGTAATTAAGTTTCTTTCAGAAAAAGAAGAACATTTGTTAACTGTGAAATTCTCTGATCTCAAATAAAAATGAAAGTAATTGTGAAATGTCGTTAATTCATCTTTCAAGAAAATGGTAGCTATACTGGTAGGAAGGGAAAAAAAAAAAGAGAGAGAGAATGGAAATCTGTTGAAGAACCACTCTGGAAGTCTCAGAAAATAAGTATTTAAACCCCATTGTTTCCAACATATCAGTTTTCACACTTTAATGTATCTGTTGGCTCAGAAGTGCCCTGCTTGAATACCCCTATGAGACTAGCAGATGAAGATGTCTATGAACATCACAAAAGTCAAGGTAGAAAGCCCCAAACTGGTGATCAGTTGAATTGGGCTGAGTATGGCAGCTACACTGTAACACTTACATCTGGAACTCCAACTTGAAAAAGTGTGTTAATAAAGTTAATAAATGTAGCAGGTAGGGCAAAGTGTGTTAATAAAGTTAATAAATGTAGCAGGTAGGGTGAGAATTGCCTTGCTCTACATCTCAGAGCCAAACAGTATTACCTTCTATTTGCCTAGGACTTTATTCTCTCTGGGCAAATATAAGCATTTGTGCATACATTACTTCTTGCATAGATTATCTCTTTTAGTCTGCAAAGCAAACATATCCTTAAACAGCAGGATATGTTTCTCTGTCTGGGGCCTGGGAGGTCAAAGAATTCACCTACAATCCCACAGTAAAAATGGCAGAACCAAGTAAGTACCAAAACCCAGATATGCCTAGGCCCAGCTCAGTATCCTTCCTTCTCTAATAGGAAGGACAAATTACATTCTACAGTTAACAAAGTATTTCCCTTCACTGAGAAGAAGGAAAAAAACACATATATTCACCAGTGGTTTAAGGTGGTGGGAAGACGCATTGGTCCAGGAGCTCTGGGCAGAAAGGTTTCACGAACTCTTCCAAACGATGCCAACTCCTGCAATCACAAATGTACAAAACACCTGGTGTGAATCACAGGCACCCTGTGGCCTCTCCCAAAGGGGACTCACTTAAACACCATTTGCCAGGCAATTTAGGCTTAAACCCCTATCTCTTTTAGCCCAATTTCCTTCCCCACTCTGACTTCCCAAAGTAGAACAAGAATCTTTAATTCACCGGCTGAAATGGTACTCATTAGAATCACAGGATCTTGTGCAGAAGGCAGCTTTACAGATCATCTTTAATGGAGATCACAAACCAAAAGCACAAGGGGTGACATCTAGGGTGGAAGTGTTACATTTCATCTGTGGATATGTTTAGAAAATCTGAGCCAAACATAAAAATCAGAGCTATCACACAAAAACTCAGATTTCTGGCTTCTCTTAAAGAAAGAAAGAAAAAAATTAGACCTGTCAACATGGCCCACATTTATGTCTGAAAATGATCAGGTGTTGCTAAGCATTAAAAGCAGTCACACTTCATAGGCAGGCTTGGCTGCTCCAACATACCACAGTTCCCACCACTCGCTACTGTCTCCTCAACACAGAGAAGAACTGGGGTTGTCATTAGTCATTACCCTTGCATTATTGTTTTTCTTGTGGTACAGAAATATTTTCTACTTATAATTCTAACAAAAGTGGGAAAACAAAAGGGGCCTAGTTCCAAGGAAAAAAAATGGTAGAGCACATACAGTAACTCAAGTTGGTGGCCTCACTCCTGCAGACATTTGCAACCCCCAAACAAGTACAACACTCCCACTTTACATGAATTAAATGTAAGTAGGAAACTGACTTGCCCACTCCCATAGTTAGATGCAGAGGTCAACATAGGTCTCTCGATTGTTTAATCCAGGACTATTTCACTATGCTGGACTACATACTAGTGTTACACTATTAAGCAAAAAAGTTAATACAATATACAAATACACACACACAATTAACTAATTAAAAATAATTATCAAAAATAATACTTTCAGAGAAGAATTAAAGTCAAGGAAATACAGTTGAAGCACCCCACTTTCCACTAAAATGCTTGCCATACATCAAAAGTGCTCAGTGTCCCAAACTGTCTGGAATACTTTGTCTGCTAGGAAAATCTCCCTTAATATGCATCTTGAATACAAGACTGTAAATAAGTTTATGTACAAGGTAACAGCACTGTAATAAGAAAGCAATGTTCAACAATAAGATCTTGATAGTACTTATTTATATCACTCCCACAAAGAATTTATTGATTCATTCACTTAAATATTTATTGAGCCCCATTACACTCCAGGAAGTATGAAAGGTGATGGAGATACAAAAGTGAACAAGACCCTCAAGTTGCTCTATCTGAATAAAAGATAGATCCAGACACTCAAAATGAATTATAAAATAATGGGTAAGTGTAGTGATCTGCAGTCAAATGCTTTGCCCCAGAGCTAAACCCTCTACAGTAAGCGTAGTGATCTCAGTGTGCACCTGTGTTACGGGAGCACTGAGCAGGGGCACCTGATATAGTGGAGGTGAAAAGATACTTCCTAGCATGGACAGAGGCCTCAGGAAATCCTAAAGCTTGGATGGGAGTGGACCAGGCACAGGAAGAAATGGAGGACAATGGAGGCAAAAACAAGGAGGTGAGAACAGCCCCTACAATTTGGTCTTGTCCAGATCTCTTATTAGCCTTGGGTCTTAAAAGCCCCTGCCTAATGCCACGTAACCCAACATCTGCTGGAACTTGATCCACAGCCCTACTTATGCACTTACAGAAGTTTATCTTGACAAGTGCCCATATCAAAAATGTCACCGATTCAGCCCTGCTTCCTGGCAATGCCTACCTATGACTCCCTGGAGTCTGCTGTCCCAGAGTCCGCAGGACGTAAGAAACATGGTGGTAGGAATACTAAGCCTTCAGGTGCAGTGGCTCCCACCTGTAATCCCAGCACTTTGGGAGGCCGAGGCGGGTGGATCACAAGTTCAGGAGTTTGAGACCAGTCCGACCAACATGGTGAAACCCCATCTCTACTAAAAATAAAAAATTAGCTAAGCATGGTGGTACACGCCTGTAATCCCAACTACTCAGAAGGCTGAGGCAGGAGAATTGCTTGAACCCAGGAAGCGGAGGTTGCAGTGAGCCAAGATAGCGCCACTGACGCCAGCCTGGGTGACAGAGTGAGACTCCGTCTCAAAAAAAAGAAAAAAGAAATAAAGAAATACTAAGCCTTTCATGATGGACAGAAGACAGTAAATAAAGATGTTTTTCTCATACCAGTCAAGGCTGCCCTGTCTCTCTCCACCCCAGGGCCTGGATTTCCACAGCAAGAAGCTACTATGCATTTGAGCCTCAAGCAGGAAGCTTTGTGAAAAAATGTTCCAGAATATCTGCCCATCAAAATCCGCACATAGAGTCCTCCTTTTCTTCACAGATAAGAAAGAAGCGAGTCGCCAGCCCTGATCTAGACTGAGGCAAAGCTGGGGAAAAGCACTCCAAAACACAGGCTGGAAAGAAGCACACAGAGGAGTAAAGACCAAACAGGTAGTCAAGGGTAGGGTTCCAGTTCAAGGCCCATATGAGGAAACAAAGAGGCAGAATTCACCTGAAGAATCGGAAGAGCCTCCCTGGATCAGTAACTAGTGGGCAGGTTCCCGAGTATGGCTGAAAATTGGAAACACCTGCAGAACTACAGCAACAAAATAATCCCCTACATACCAGAGCCATTAAATCAGAATCTATGGTCTGGAGGTCCAAGCACTGTCCAGAACCTCCTCACACATGATGGTGATGTCCAATATCAAAATAGTGTATTTCACCTAGAGGTCTCAGAAGCTCCAAAACCTCTTCAAGGACATGAATTCAGCATCCTCCAGGAAGGAGCCAAGG